CTTCAAAAAGAATAAGAGAAATTCCTGGGCACATCCAATGGAAAAAGCTAGTCAAAGGCAAAAGAAAGAAACATTCACCCGGTCTCAGCTTTCTCCTCCAGAAATATCCAGTGCTATAAAGGAATGGGAGCAATGTCTGAAGAAATTTTAAGGGCAAAAAAGTGTGGCACGAGACTTTGGTACTCAGCCAAATTGTCCTTCAAATATAAAAGCAAGGAACAGCTTTGCTTAAGTTTAAGACCTCAAGGAACACAGTACCTACCCAGGGCTTCTCTAAATAAAACACTGTGGCTGGCATGGTGGTTCACCTCTGTAATCCCAGCACTTTGGGAGGCCAAGACGGATGGATCACTAGAGCCCAAGAGTTTGAGACCAACCTGGGCAATATGGCGAGACTCTGTCTCTACAAAAAATGCAAAAATCAGCCAGGTGTCTGGCCCTGGAGTTTGGGGTTACGATGAGCTGTGATTATGCTACTACACTCCAGCCTGGGTGATCGTGAGACTCACTCTCTAAAAAAAAATAATAATAAGTTGGCCGGGCGCAGTGGCTCAAGCCTGTAATCCCAGCACTTTGGGAGGCAGAGGAGGATGGATCACGAGGTCAAGAGATCGAGACCATCCTGGTCAATATCGTGAAACCCCATCTCTACTAAAAATAATAAAAAATTAGCTGGGCATGGTGGCGTGTGCCTGTAATCCCAGCTACTCAGGAGGCTGAGGCAGGAGAATTGCCTGAACCCAGGAGGCGGAGGTTGCGGTGAGCCAAGATAGCGCCATTGCACTCCAGCCTGGGCAACAAGAGCGAAACTCCATCTTAAAAATAATAATAATAATAATAATAAGTTAACAATATTATTTCTAAATGGTAAGATTTAGGGTGAGTTTTTTCATTTCCTCTTTGTACTTTTTTGTATTGTTTGACTTTTGTTGTAATGTGAATGTATCACCTCTTTCCAAACAAGTCACTTTTTAATAATGAAGAAAAATCTGATTGCTGACTTTATTGGTTTTGCACTTCTCCATTCCTGCCAGGCAAAAATCTAAACTTAAGTATATTCATTTATTGTTATTCCTATTATTGCCCACTTCACAGGGACAAAACTAAAATCCAGGGCAGTTAAGTCATTTGCTCTAGGTCACAGAGCCAGGATGTGACCTCAGACAGCCAAACTTCATAACATGTAAGCTGACAGAATTACTCAAGTTCATTTGGTTCACCTCATTTTTTTCATTCACTCAGTAGACCTCTGTGGGCCTAAACCAGCGAGGAGAAGTGCTATCTGCAATGAAACAGCTATACTCATGCATGCCTGGTGGATTACCTACAATAAAACTCTTTCAGAAACTGACAAGAGTGAAATTCTGCCTCAAAAGAAAAAACGTCTTAAAAATGCTCATTCAGTGAGCCGAGATCACACCATTGAATTCCAGCCTGGGTGATACGGCAAGACTCTGTCACAAAACAAAATAAAAAATAAAATGCTTAAACTCTGTAATTCTATTTCTAGGAATCTAACCTAAGAAAGCAAATGTAAAGACAGGGAAAGGCATATAAATGAGGAAACACATAATCTAACAACAAAATAACAGGACAGTAAGGCATAATAGAATCATACAATTGATCATCATGCAGGTATTAAAATGCACATTACAGAGAAATACTAAGGAACAGGGGAAAATAGTTACCAAGTGAAGTCAGCCCACTACATTCCTCATTCAACACTGCCAACTGCATTCACCCCTATTCCCTCCCAAAATCCCACTAAAATGATAAACATTATTTTACAAAGGCAGACTCCCATAAAACGAGCCAGAACAAAGAGACAGTAGAGAAAACAAGAACATCAATAATATTTTAGAAGAAAGAAAGTGAACTGAAGAATCTTAACTGTCTTGGAAGAAGGCTGAAAGTGAAGGCTGCAGAGGGAGATGACAAGCAGCAGCACGCCAATTTCAAGACAAATCCCAGGAACTGCAAGAATCAAATACCACTGAAAACAGATAGGGCTGAAAACAGATTCAGGCCACTGAAAACAAGAAGATTGGCTGAGAATCTGAAAAATCTCTGATGTGGTTTGGATACTTGTTCCCTTCCAAATCTCATGTTGAACTGTGATTCCCAGTGTTGGAGGTGGGGCCTGGGAGGAGGTGACTGGATCATGGGGTGGATCCCTCATGAGTGGTTTAGCACCATTCTCTGGGTGATAAGTGAGATCTTGCACTGAGTTCACAATCTGCTTGTTTAGAAGTGCACGGCCCCTCCCACACTTGCCAGGTGACACAGCCTGCTCCCCCTTTCCCTTCCACCATGATCAACTGGAAGCTTACTGAGGCCCTCACCAGAAGCAGATACCAACGCCATGCTGCTTGTACAGCCTACAGAACTGTAAGTCAGTTAAACTTCTTTTCTCTATAAATTACCTAGCCTTGGGCATTCCTTTATAGTAATGCAAAAGTAACACAATATCCCACCCCATGCAGCCAGGCACCTACCCTTTCCCTAGCCTGGCAGAAGCAGGAGACATCTCTTTTATGGAGGCTGAATCTGAGAGGATCTATGCTCAAAGGGCCCAGAAACAACCAAAGGTAGGAATAAAATGCTGTAATGATAATGAGGGATTAAGTCAAAGTTTTCACACCAAATTATAAGGCTTTCCCTTCCAAGTCCACTTCTACAGCTCTTATCACAGAATTATGGCAGCAAAGATCACACCCCACAGTGGAACCATGAGAGAAGTCTTCTCTGCAGAAACTCGAGAACCCGGCAGAAAAGACCTACAGACGGTGATATGGTTTGGCTGTATTCCCACCCAAATCTCATCTTGAACTGTAGCTCCCATAATTCCCTTGTGTTGTGGGAAGGACCCGATTGTAAGAGATAGTTGAATCATGGGGGCAGTTTCCCCCATATTGTTCTCTGGTAGTGAATAAGTCTCATGAGATCTGATGGGTTTATAAGAGGAAACCTTTTTCACTTGGTTCTCATTCTCTTCTCTTGTCTGCCACCATGTGAGACATGCCTTCACCTTCTGATATGACTACGTGGTCTCCACAGCCACATGGAAACATAAGTCCATTAAACATCTTTCTTTTGTAAACCGCCCAGTCTCAAGTATGTCTTTATCAGCAGCGTGAAAACGTACTAATATGGACACCAACATCTATGGGTTCCCCAAGAAAAAAGATGTGTTCCAACTGACTCACACAAGGGAGAGTCCACCAGTGTAGAAGCCCTACAATACCAGTGGATTCCAGCCAGGTTTTATGTGCCTCACTCTTAAGTATAAACAGCTGGAGATAACCAAGTATTTTTAGAAAAACTTCCAACATCAACGATGGGCTCTAACGGTTGAACAGAAATCTAGAATTACTATTCTAACAGCAAAATGACACATGGTGGATTGTTCTTTACACTGTAAACTTATCCATCACATTTCCTCCTACTGAGCATGCCTTGGTGTCTAGGAACAGAGACCCATAAAACTTCTCCCTCCTCCCACAGCAGCCAGTATTTTGCAGACACTACCAGTGAGTTAAATCTCATCTTCCGTTCTAGTAAGCAAAGAGGTAGAACCTAAATTTGAAGAAGAAATTGCACATAACATTTTATGGCATGCATCGGCTAAGAACTGGAATCCATTTAAATTCTCTAAGTGAATTATTTCACAGATTGAAGATAAATACAAGAAAAAAAGGACTACAAATATTTGAAGGTAGGTGCCGTGGTTGATGTCTGTAATTCCAGCACTTTGGGAGGCCGAGGTGGGCGGATCACCTGAGGTCAGAAGTTCCAGACCAGCCTGGCCAACATGGTGAAACCCTGTCTCTACTAAAAACACAGAAGTTAGCTGGGTGTGGTGGCACATGCCTGTAATCCCAGCTACTTGGGAGTCTGAGGCAGGAATAATTGCTGGAACCCAGGAGGCAGAGGTTGCAGTGAGCCGAGATCACACCACTGCACTTCGGTCTGGGCGACAGGGCAAGTCTCTACCTCAAAAAAATGGAAAAAGGAAAATAATTATCTTAGGTACGAGGAATTGGCGTGTGGAGAAGCTGGCCAGGAAACAGCTAGTTTCCATTACAATAAGTGCTTGATAATTTTTTCTGAAATGTTTACATGTGTTACTTTTATTTCAAAATTAAAGCCAGCTACACAACCACAGGTGCGGTGTGATATGACAGTCTTTTAACAAAGGCTAGATGAAAAGAACAGAAACAAAACTGTTGACAGTGGTTATCTTTGAGGGGAGGGATTATAGGTGTCTTACTTTTTACTTCTGTTTTCCGCACTGCGCATGTGCTGCTTTTAAATACGCATTTCGAGCACCTGTGTTTGACGATGAGCACCACAGGTTCTCTATGACCTGGACTGATTCCACCTGGTCTTTTAGGAATCTGTTGAAAAATGAGTGTGCACTGAGGGAGCTGAGGAGCAAGTGAACATGACTCTCAAGGAATCCATCTGCGGGCCAGGGGGGCAGGTCAAAGGAAGGAAGGGCAGGGGAAATTGCAGAGTTTTTTTTTTTTTTTTCCCTTCTTCTTTTTTTGGAGACAGGGTCTCGCTCTGTCACCCAGGTTAGAGTACAGTGGTGTGATCTCCTTTCACTACAACCTCTGCCTCCCAGGTTCAAGTGATTCTCCTGCCTCAGCCTCCCAAGTAGCTGGGACTTCCAGCGCATGCTACAACACCCAGCTCATTTTTGTATTTTTAGTAGAGACGAGGTTTCGGCATGTTGGCCAAGCTGGTCTTAAACTGCTGACCTCAGGTGATCCGCCTGCCTTGCCTCCCAAAGTGCTGGGTTTACAGACATGAGCCACCACACCCGGCCTAGGAGAAGCTTTTCTTTTACATGCTTTTGCTTTTCAGGACTGCAAGGGCCACACCCCACGTGCAGTGATGGAAAGGTGACGTAAAGGTTACGCAAATGACGTAAAGGGGACGCAAAGGCGACGCAAAAGCGGCGCGCGCCACGGCTGTTTGGAGCCCGAGACTCAAACATGGCAGCACCGTCTTCTCCGGGAAAGACGGCCAACCAGGCAGACCAGACATGCACCTTCCTCCTCAAAAAGTCTGGACGTAAAGGGGCTGCAGGCCTCAGAAAGCGCCCGGCCTGCGACCCCGAGCGCAGAGATAGCAGCAGCAGCAGCGGGGATGAGGGTGACGTGGTGGCCAGGCCCCCGCGGGTGGCACCGAGGCCCCGGGGCCTCCGTGGCTGGCAGAAGATGGCTCACTGCGACCTGAGGGGCAAGGAGGCAGCACCCGAGAGCCTCGGCGTGGTATACAAGTCCACCCGCTCGGCGAAGCCGGTGGGGCCAGAGGACATGGGGGCCACCGCTGACTTCGAGCGGGACACCGAGAAGGAGCGCGATACACAGGCCATCTTCAAGCGCAGCCAGCGGGTGCAGGAGGCACTGCGGGGCCGGGAGCACGACCAGATCTACCGGGGACTCCACAACTACCCAAGGTACCTGAAGCCCAGGGACACGTCCATGGGTAACACCTCCTCAGGAATGGCCAAGAAGGGCCCCATCCGTGCGCCGGGGCACCTGCGCGCCACCGTGCGCTGGGATTACCAGCCCGACATCTGCAAGGACTACAAGGAGACCGGCTTCTGCGGCTTCGGGGACAGCTGCAAATTCCTCCACGACCGTTCCGATTACAAGCACGGCTGGCAAATTGAACAGGAGCTGGAGGAGGGCCGCTATGGTATCTGCGAGGACGAAAACCATGAAGTGGGATGCGAGGAAGAGGAAATACCATTCAAGTGTTTCATATGTCGCCAGGCCTTCCAAAACCCAGTGGTCACCAAGTGCAGGCACTATTTCTGCGAGAGCTGTGCGCTGGGGCATTTCCGGGCCACCCCGCGCTGCTACGTCTGTGACCAGCCAACTGGTGGCATCTTCAACCCGGCCAAAGAGCTGATAGCGAAACTGCAGAAGCTTCGGGCTACAGAAAGTGGGAAAAATTCCCATTTCACAGAAGACCCCGATGAGGGTAAAATTCCCATGGCTTAGGTGTCCCATAAGCCTCACACTTAAACATACACTGTTGTTTTTTAGGAAAAAAAGTCATGAGAAAGACTCAAGTCTTTCAAGACACTGGGGAGAAGTGACCTGTTGAGTAAGATTAGAGATGACAGCCCTCCTGTAATCCGACTCCTGGGTATGTAACCCAAAGAACTGAAATCCGGATCTTAGAGAGGTATTTGCATTCCCATGTTAACTGCACTGTTACTCGCAAAAGCCAAGAGGTATAAACAACCCAAGTGTCCATGGATGGATGAATGGACAAACACAGAATCATACATATAGACAGACAGCCTGAACGGGAAGGATATCCTTTTAATAATTTAAACAGATCCTTTTAAGAATCACATGCTACAACCTGAATGAACCTTGAAGACGACACTGTGCTAAGTGAAAGAAACTAGTCACAAAGAGACAAATATGTTGTACGATTTCACTAACAGAAGGTATCTAGGGTTGTCAAAATTACATAAAAAGAAAGTAGAATGGTGGTTTCCAGGGGCTAGGAGGAGCAGGAGGGGCGAGTTGTTTAAAATGCGCACAGAGTTTGACCTTTGCAAGAGGAAAAACTTATAAAGCTCTGTTACACATCAATATGTATATAGTGAATACGAGTGAACACTTAAAAATGGTTAAGAGGGTAAATTTTATGTTTTGTACTACAATTTTTTTTTTTTCAAAAAAGCTAAAACAAGAGAGAGATCTGAGATAGGAGGAATAGCGGAACCAACACTGGGAGGAATGGGAGAGGATGGGGTTCCCCAGTGAGTAAAAATGCACATAAGGGATATCAGTTAAGAACCAAGGAGGGGAAGAGTTGACAGAAGAATATCCATGCTTAAGTTTGGATTTGATTTCGTTCGGCTGATGTTAACATCCTCTCACTTAAAATGGCAACATATTCCTCTCCCAAGACAAACACCAGCAGATCTGCATTGAGTTCCTCACAGCTGTGTTCCTTACAAGGAGCTGACTCAGATTATGTAAATTTTCATAAAAGCCTACCTCATATCTCAACTTTGGCTGTGAATTCCTTGGAGGCTGAAACCATGTCTCACATACTTCCTGTTTTTTAATGGCCAACAGGTATCTCAATAAAAAGTCAGTTAGTGGAAAGTCAATCAAACCAAGCAGACTAGCAGCTGGCTACCCAAGCACCTGCTGCAGAGCGAACTTCAGCAAAACTTTCCACTTCACTTTGATCTTGAACCACACCCATCCACCCACCCACCACCATGGCCAGGTTCTAGTCACAAGCAGAGCAGTGGTTGAGGGCACAGACCCAGGAGTGAGACAGGATTCAAGTCATGGTTCTACCAGTTACAGATGCATGAACCTTGGGTATGTTACTTTAACCTCTCTGTGCCTCAGTTTCCTCATACGTAGTATCTATCTCACAGGGTTGTTTTGAAGTGAAAACTAGCAAAGTATTTAGAACAGTGCCTGACGTATAGTATTTGCTGTAAACATGTAATTCAAGCAGAGAAAATGGCAACTTGATAGTCGATAAGGTAGACAGTTCAAGTGCCCCATAAAAGTGAGCCATTTATTCTGGCATTTCACATAGAGCTTTCTCTAAGAATTGTCCTTGCCAAAGCTAACAACACAAAGCTTGTGTACAGTGACTTACTGGGCCCTCCCCCTAAGTCCCTTCATTTTTGTCAGTTCTGTCAAAGGGCTATTTTATTCACTCTCAAGCCTTCCAAAAACATTTGGAATTAGCACAAAAGAAGAAATATGAAACTTTCAGGCACTCTGAAGCAGAAACTAAGCTCCAGCTCCAGGATTTTCCTTGCAAGGCTCACTTGAGTTTCTTTACAATGATTCGTGTGTGTTTTAGGGCTTCCATAGACACCAGACTCAGCTACACCTGTGAACCTTCTCAACAAGTGCTCCAAGTCACCAACCTTTTGAAAACATTCCAAATATACATTAAGATATATAGTTCTTATTCCATTTTTTAAATGACAGAATAAGGTTCATGATCGATCATTTGCAAAATTAAGCAGAGAGGCGATTACTGCTAAGCGTTGCTAAATTTGACAATTTGGTTTACTAACATCGAGTGTTAAAATCTGCTAGCATTTTTGGCCAGTTTCCTTCCCGTCTTTTCTCTGTATATTTTTCACATTAATATATGAAACAAACATTCTGGAGTTGGAAGGAAAGAAGCAAGCAGGACTGCAGGGAGTGCACACATTCCCTGGGAGCACAGTCCTTCCCATCACCACACTCCAAGGTCACAACGCTGGAGCGACCCCTCAGTCTTTTGCTGAAATAGCAGAGAACAGGGAAGAGGGCAGTTCCCCATCAGCACTGCACCACCTTACGGAGCACACTGCTGGGGAACTGAAGAGCAGCGTGAGGCCAGCTGGCTTTCAAAGTCAGCACTGTGGTTACCGGCACTTTATCCTGTCTGGACCGGGTCCCACCACATCACACCCCGACCCCGATCCTTTCTGTCAGAAGAACACATCAGCCGGGCTGCAGTTAAGCAACAACTGACTTGACCTTTTTTCTGTTCACTTTAGGCACACGTAATGGTTATTAAGTCCTTCTGAATCAACATGAGCAATGTGAGAAAAACATGGCAAAACCAAACAATGCTTTGATGTTTTCATTAACTTGCATGGACTTACGGAGGCAGCTCCGGTCCCCCTCCCCATGACTGCGGAGTTTCCGGTTAGGGCTTCTGAAATCCTGAAAATGCCTTACAGGCCTGCACCAGGGTCACAAACCCCCTAGGATTCCAAAGACTCCAGGCAGAGAGGCAAAAACCTAGAGCACGTGAAAATCAAAACCTGAACACACTGTACCCAGATTGATTAATATCTTGAAATATACAAAATTCCTTCTAAGGAATTTTCATAAGTACCACCTAAAATTGAAGAAAACAGGAACATTTTCCTGTTGACTTTTTCCGTGTGCCAACTGCCCATAAAAATTCCTCTCCTGTTTTGCAAGGACAGAACTCTCAAGAACAAATGACCTAATTAAACCTGAGATTTCCTGGCTGAGAGCTATGTAGAAGGCAGAAAACGCACTGAAATGATGCTGAATTTGAAAAGAGCTCTATGCCAAACTGATGCAGTGAATTTTTGAAGTACATATCCAATACTGGAGCTAAAAAGCATGAGAAAGACAGACATCCTTAACTACTTTTATTTATGAAGCAACCAGAATGTGTATGTCCCCACTTATCTACTGCATATATTTCAAAATGTGATTATACCACACTGTGAATGCATCTTTTTGACACATTTCATTGGTCTCCCTTGGCTATTGGGTTGTTGCCAGTGCAGTACAATAGCGTGGATCTGCTGTCTCTCATCCTAGCTTTCAGAAATGTGCTAAGTTATCTCGTATCTCCTTCAGCTCTAGACTCCCACCCCCATTGATTTGCACAGATGTTCAAGGAGAAAGAATTCTTGTTTTTCTTTAAATGAATGTCAAGGGCCTGGCAAAGTCCTGTACTAAGAAATGCAGCAGTCAGCACTCTTGAAAAGCTGCTTATTAGCTCACTTCCTTCTCTCTCCAGCTTTTCCACTTGCAAAAAAATAAATATGGAAACTATCACACTTGCCCAAGGTCTAAAAGAAACCAGGAAGTGGGCAGGTTAAGGTCTAACAGGTAAGTTTTCTCTGCTCCTGTCTGTTGAACGTTAAGGAACTGTTCGTTTCATGTATTTTAATGGTGCTGTGCTAGAGGCAGCTCTGTGATTTTCATTTTTTTGGCTATAACCCCTGGGGACGTGAGGTCATGGGGAAATTCCAAGGGGGTCAAGGAGACCAGAAACCTAGCTGGTCACATAACTGCTCAGTGGCACTGACAGAGACCAGCCCCAGCCCTGGTGCCAACCCCCATGACTCCCTATTTTCAGAGCCCTGCTGATCCTGCCAGTTTCTCCTGCCTTCCAAGCACTCTGTGCCAGTGGCCACTGAGACCTCCCTAAGCAGCAGAAATCAAGTCAGTCTCCACACCCTGGTGTCTGGAGGACTCCCACTGAGAAAAGTCTCATTCACGGCTAATCACAACTAGAACTCTCATACATTTTCCTACCCCGCCCAACAAACAGCAGAGCGCAGAAAAAGAACAGCCGGATTTCCATGGCCCTGGATTTCCATGGCCCTGCATCGTCAATGACATCTCCTCTTCGTTACCATCCAGAGGAGAACTGCTGCACTGATACGAGGCTGCCAGACACCCCCAGGGCAGGACAACATCTGCAAGTCAGAGACTTACCACAAAACAAAACAAAACAAAACCTCAGGCTGAATTTGATTTTCTGTGGGATAAGGAAGAAAATGAGATACAGAAATGTGACCGAACCTGTGTGCAGATACATGCAGGGGCACAAGTCTGAATGGTCAACTCAAAAATGTCATTCTGAACTCTCATGAGAGTTCAGAGTCTATCTCATTATGGGGGAGGGAGGTTTAAGGAAATCATATAAATTAGACTAATCCATGAATATCTGACTGAATCTGCAGCCTTAGAAAATAAAAATTTTAGGCCGAGGCGGGTGGATCACGAGGTCAAGAGATTGAGACCATCCTGGCCAACATGGTGAAACCCCGTCTGTACTAAAAATACAAAAAATAGCCGGGCGTTTGGCATGCGCCTGTAGTCCCAACTACTTGGGAGGCTGAGGCGAAAGAATCACTTGAACCTGGGAGACAGGGATTGCAGTGAGCCAAGACTGTGCCACTGTGCTCCAGCCTGGTGACACAGCAAGACTCCGTCTCAAATTTTAAAAAAATAAAAATAATAGAAATTTTGCACAATTGTTTAACAGTGTAGCTCCAGTATGATTACTGCCGTTACAGTAAGTTTTTAAACTGTCCTATTTTATACCTTAGTAAAATAAAATGGACTTACAGTTAAACATGGCAGATTAACCACATGCCTGTTTCCACACCAAACATCCTATAAAAATTACAGCAAACATACTTATTTTAAGAGGACCAAATACATACATACATACATAC